AGTTTTAGCAGCCACAAAAGTGCCTACTCAGGTCAAAAATAAAAGGAAAATAGAAAAGGCAAATTGTCATTGTTACAAATTTGTAGAAATGCAACACAGGGCTTGGACTAGAAGAAGACAGGCTGCTTTTGTTTCATTACTTTAACATATTTTACAACTAATATGCATGTAAATAAATAATATATTTTATACCTTTATTTAATAATGTATGTTTCTGAAACTTGTGCAACCAAAAGGAATTATAGTCAAAGGAAAGGCACCAGTAACATAACCAAGGGCAAAGCCAAACTGAAAACTGACATTGGGGTAAAAAATTGTTTGGTAAAACCCTGGTTGTCACCAATAATTCAATTCACTTCCATGGTCCAGTTAGTCAATATCTTATAATATTAGCCATAGAATGTCTTTTGGTGCTTTTGTAGATTGTTGAAACATTGCTTTGAAGGGTTAGTTGACCTTTAACAAAAAAAACAAAACAAAAACTGCCTTTGTAGATAAGGGGCATCTGTAGATAAAAACAAACTGTGCAGCTTTGACCTTGCTTTGTACCTCCCAAACCTTGCCTGAAAAACTCCCAGCGATGTTATCATCCCATCCAACCAAGGTGTGATGATGTCATCTCTGGGAGTTTTTCCCAGCGATGTTATCATCCCATCCAACCAAGGTGTGATGTCATCTCTGGGAGTTTTTCAGCCAAGCTTTGGGAGGTACAAAGCAAGGTCAAAGCTGCACAGTTTGTTTTTATCTACAGGCATGCCTTACCTGCATAAGCAATTTTTTGGTAACAACTAACCTGTTAAACTTTAATGCATTACAATATTTGGACACCATATAAAAATGGATCATAAGAAAAATAAATTTCTTGCATTTTTAAGTATTTACCAGTACTGACTGATTCTTTTATTATAGTCAAATTACAAGTCTGTTTGTTAGTGATATGGCCATCAGTGAAGATGATTCAATCCTGTGTGCTGCTGATGAGCACTTCTATGTCTACATTTGGAATATATCAGAGTATGCTTTGGAAGGACCAGAGGAAAAACCTCCTGTCTGTGAGTTATTTCCTAAAACTTGTGCCTCAACATCCATTTAATATGTAATTCTTGGATTCAATTTATACATGCAAAGAAAGAGCTATTTAAAACAAATTGAAAGACAATTCACCTGACATTCGCCAAAATTCACCCAAATGTCTTTGGGCAACTTTCACTTAAAAGTAGAGTTTCACGAAATTGGGTATATTGATGGTCACCACTGGATTTTTTGCACATACAGTTGCAAGAAAAAGTATGTGAACCCCTTGGGATTACGTGGAGTTTTGCATTAATTGGGCATAAAATGTGCTCTGAACGTCATCTAAGTCACAAAAATAGAAGAACACAGTCTGCTGAACATAATACTAGACAAACATTAGATGTTGCCATGGTTTAATTGCACATAACATGTAAACATTCACAGTGCAGGGAGGTAACTGGTTGACCCTCCTTTGGCAGCAATAACCTCAACCAAACGTTTCCTGTAGTTGCAGATCAGACCTGCACAACGATGTGGAGTAATTTTGGACCACTCCTCTTCACAAAACTGTTTCAGTGTAGCAATATTCTTGGGATGTCTGGTGTGAATCGCTCTCTTAAGGTCATGCCACAGCATTTCAATCGGGTTGAGGTCAGGACTCTGACTGGCCCACTCTAGAAGACGTATTCTGTGCTGTTGCAGCCATTGTTTTGTTGAATTACTTGTATGCTTTGGGTCATTGTCCTGATGCATCACCCATCCTCTGCGGAGCTTCAGTTGGCGGACAGATGGTCGTACGTTTTCCTGCAAAATGTCTTGATAAACTCTGGAATTCATTTTCCCATCAATGACAACAATCCGTCCAGGCCCTGAGGCAGCAAAGCAGCCCCAAACCATGATGCTCCCTCCGCCATGTTTTACAGTGGGGATGAGGTTTTGATGTTGGTGTGCTGTGCCTTTTTTTCTCCACACATAGTGTTGTGTGTTCTTCCCAAACAACTCAATCTTGGTTTTATCTGTCCACAGTATATTTTGCCAGTAGTGCTGTGGAACATCCAGGTGCTCTTTTGCGAACTTCAAACGTGCTGCAATATTCTTTTTGGACAGCAATGGCTTCCTTCGTGGTGTCCTCCCATGTACTCCATTCTGTTTAATGTTTTCCTTATTGTAGATGTGTTAACAAAAATGTTAGCATGTGCCAGAGATTTCTGTAGGTCTTTAGCTGACACTCTGGGATTCTTCTTTACCTCATGCAGCATTCTGCGCTGTGCTCTTGCAGTCATTTTTACAGGACGACCACGCCTAGGGAGAGTAGCAACAGTGCTAAACTTTCTCCATTTGTAGACAGTCTGTCTAACCGTGGACACATGAGCATCAAGGCTTTTGGAGATACTTTTGTAACCCTTTCCAGCTTCATGCAAGTCAACAATTCTTGATCGTAGGTCTTCTGAGAGCTCTTTTCTGCGAGGCATGGTTCACATCAGACAGTGCTTCTTGAAACCAGTAAACCCAAAACAGGTGTGTGTTTTTTAAGGGCAGGACAGCTGTTAGCAACACATCCAATATCATCACACTGATTGGAGTCAAGGTTGGCTCACTCCGGGCTCCAATTCGCTCTGGGAGAAGTCATTAAGCTAGGGCCTCACATTTTTTCCTCCCTGCACTGTGAATGTTTACATGCTATGTGCAACTAAACCGTGGCAACATCTAATGTTTGTGTAGTATTATGTTCAGCAGACTGTGTTCTTCTATTGTTGTGACTTAGATGACGTTCAGAGCACATTTTATGCCCAATTCATGCAAAACTCCACGTAATCCCAAGGGGTTCACATACTTTTTCTTGCAACTGTATATATCTTTGGGAAAATTAAGGACTTATGTCTGGACATTTTCATCCCTTTTTTTAATGCATTCACATGTATTTTGGACATTTTTTAAATAAGGTTGTTATATTTTTGGGATGATTAAAGATTAGTGTCATCTTTAAACTATAAACATTTCACACATGTATGGATATTGTTCTTGAAATGTATTTTCACATTTTATGATGTATATATTTATTATTCAGCTATACACATAAATTATTATATAAGATTAGTGTTTGAGTTCTGTGAGTGATACACAGATTGTGCTGGCTTGCTGTCTTTCATTTTGTGTTGCGCAGACACATATATCTTTAGATGTTTGTGGCAGGACATAGCAGTGTGGTAGTCAGGAGAGGTTGGATTTTAGGCCCCAGTCTCTGGCCTCCCTTATAAATGTACACTGGCTACAATAAGTAATGGTTTTATAAACAGTATTGCATATGTTCATTATATTTTTTCTTTCCCCTGAACAGTACTGCACTGTTGGAGAGCACACCTTGGTGCAATTAGCAGGTAAGAGAATCATAAGGTTTGGAAGAATAGCTGGAGTCTGGACCAACATAAATCTGAAATATACATATGTAGTTTTTCTTATTAAATTGACAAAACAAATATTGTTTTATTATTTAATTTAATCCTGAAAATCATAAAGAAAGCATATAGAAAAACACTATACTTTCCTTTTAAAGAAAATCAATCCAATTCAACACATTGCTGTGTTTTTTTGCTATTTGTACAGCGTTATACCAGTGGTAAAGCATAAGGTGATAGTCACATCATCTCAAGACTGCACAGTAAAGCTTTGGACAATGCAGGGAGAATATATAGGTAAGATGTCAAATCTGTTATTTATGGGTAAAGTTTATGTATGTTTGGATTGAATTTACATATAATCAGTAATGAAACAGTCATGTAAGTATGCACCTTTCACATGCTTCCAGCCTTTATTCTATTGTATTCCATCTATTTGCATGTACATGTTACAAATTCCAGTCAATACTATTGGGTGACACTGTTCTACAAATATCAAGAACGGGTTGCAATGCATTGATTCTCTCACATGTGCTCCCAAAGATGGATTTCCGAAACTAGTCCACATGTCATTTGTATTTGGAATCTATGCATGTTGTGAATCTCTATGTATTTTAATGGAACTGTAATTTAATGGAATATAATAAAGCTGTATATTAATACAGTTTCTCTATAATCCACATAAAATTCATGCCTACATATCATGTTTATAGCAATAAATGATTTACAGGGAAGTGGACAGCATACACAGATTGGTTTTCCAATGATTTCTAAATTTGTTTATATACAGTATGGTTCCTTTTTGGGTTTAAGTGAGTCACTGACCTTGAACAAGTATGGAGTATCATGATGTCTGTCTTGAATCAGACACTTCCACAAGACACAAACAAACAAGTCAGCAAAGGCAGATCTTGTATTTCTATCATCCTAGATCTCTTTTAAATTATGTTTTACATGACATATGACAGGAGTGTGCGCCAAAGGCTGGGATGTTTCTTTTTAATCCTAGGCATCGTAGACTTATTCATCCAAGGATTGGATTATGCTTGCCTTTGAGCATCTGCTTTGGGTATATATCTTTGGGTAGATAAAACTGTAGAAACTAACAATATTATTAAACTGGTGACAGTAAAGTTGTTAATGTTTATATACAGTCATTTCTAGCATGTCCAGTGCATTCCCTGTATCTAGACCACCCATTATATAACCTGTCTACCTACCCTGCATCCCACTTCAACTAGAAGCTGATATTTGTCCCTATCCTTTAACAGCTCAGTGCAAGAACCTCTCTGGATGACAGGGGAATTCTGTGTAGGGATAAAATGCCATGTACCTGTGATTGAACACCTCCCTGGGTACATAGAAAAAGAGATAAAATCAAAGTTGCTGGAGTCACCTTACATTGCCTACACTTTGAAAGTACCGTTATTTCATATAGCTCTATGACCTGACAGTGTCACTGGAATATACAATGTGACAGTGATGTGTAATTACTTCCTAGGAACATTTGGACAAGGTAAACCATGGTGTATTAAGAACACAGAAGTTAAGGAGGAAACCAGCAATAACAACTTTATTGGTAAGAAACAAATGTCACCTGCTGTGTATGAATCCAGACAAGAGCCAGAGGAAGAACAGGAACAGCAAGACAATAGCTCAGAGGTAATATTGTTTAAGCCAAATTTCCAAATGGAACTGGTTTTCAGCAGGTGACAAGTTAAATGGTCTAATCTGCTATTAGGGATTTGGTTTGGGTTGCTGCTTCCATAAGTTTAAGGTGGAGCCTGCAGATTTGAGGTTTACCAATTTTTGGGTAGATTTGGCAGGGAGAATATGTTTTAAACCATAATTTACTGCACAGCCTTTGAACTATAGCCAACAGGTTTAAAAGAGAGACATAGAGGGTAAATGAAACGCCATTATTTTACTGCTAACATCCACTGTTTGTTCATTCAGGCATTGCTCCTGAACCTAGGAAGCCGCAATAGAGCCTCGGCCTCTAGGCGGCATTATATTGCTAATAATATTCATAAATGTTTGATCATTGCCTGTTACATGCCTTATTGGTGACTTATTGTACGGCACCCCTGTGTGGGCGATCAGCTGTTTAGGGAGAGATCAGGGTCAGTTAAGAAACTGTACTTTAATTCAGCTTACTATCTCTTCTGGGCAATCAACCCCTTTACTACTTTTTCTTTTGTTTTGTTCTGCAAGAATAGTGTCCACCTAAATGACCTCATCTTATATTGTTTACATTCACTGCACCGCCTTTCCTCTCTATAAAATAAAAGTTAGGTGTACACCAGTTAGGACTATTATACCTGATACCTTGCACGGATGCTGTCCAATTTTGCACTGATGTATCTTCTGCAATATCTTAAAGGATAACTCCATTTTCGTAGGAAAAAATTTCAAATAAAAAAGTAATGTAGCATATACAATTGCAACACAAGCCATATTGTAATTTATTAGTATTAAAAAAAATCCTTTTCCATCTGCAGTGTTGTAATTTCCTGTACAATTCGATGCAAAATAGTGACCTGGAGGCGTTCCATACACAGATGGTGTACAGAACACCCTTAGAGATATAATTTCCTGCTTGTGTGATTGGATCACTGAATTTCTCAAAAGTCTATAAGATCAGAATTTAGGCATACTCAGCAACAACAAAAAAATCAGTTTTGGTGAGATGCTCCCAAAAGGTTCATCACTTCTAAAGGAATACAGACCCTGCCATTCTCCTCATTAGAGTACTGCAAGTGCCCTAGCTCAGTGGTGGGCAACCTTTTTTTTCAACTGAGCCAAATCTCGCCAAAACCACGATTGAAATTTATTTTGAGAGCCACATTTTTAAAACTGAAAATACATCCCCCATAGTAATTCATCCCCCATATAGTAATTCATCCCCCATAGTAATTCATCCCCCATATAGTAATTCATCCCCCATAGTAATTCATCCCCCATATAGTAATTCATCCCCCATATAGTAATTCATCCCCCCATAGTAATTCATCCCCCATAGTAATTCATCCCCCATATAGTAATTCATCCCCCATAGTAATTAATCCCCCATATAGTAATTCATCCCCCATAGTAATTCATCCCCCAATAGTAATTCATCCCCCATAGTAATTAATCCCCCATATAGTAATTCATCCCCCCTATAGTAATTCATCCCCCCTATAGTAATTCATCCCCCATAGTAATTCATCCCCCATAGTAATTCATCCCCCATAGTAATTTAATCCCCCATATAGTAATTCATCCCCCCTATAGTAATTCATCCCCCCTATAGTAATTCATCCCCCATAGTAATTCATCCCCCATATAGTAATTCATCCCCCATAGTAATTCATCCCCCATAGTAATTTATCCCCCATATAGTAATTCATCCCCCCTATAGTAATTCATCCCCCATAGTAATTCATCCCCCATATAGTAATTCATCCCCCCTATAGTAATTCATTCCCCATATTGTGTCAATTCACTTACCTTTGCTCCGCGCGTTCCTCTCGCCGCGTTCCCGCGCCGTTCCGGTCTTCAGGGCGGACTGTGAGAGGAGTTCGTCACGCTGCCCAGCCTACATCCTGGCTGCCCCGCCTACATCCTGACAGCCAATGTTTGCCACGCTCCGCGGGCCGGATTAAAAGGTCCGCCGGGCCGTAGTTTGCCCATTGCTGGGCTAGCTGCAGAGTCCTGACTTTTGGGGCGGCTGCCCGAGAGGAGGGAGGGGAGCGGGCGCCCGGCACACAGAAGAGCCGCATTGAAGTGTGTAAAGAGCCGCATGTGGCTCGCGGGCCGCGGCTTGCCGACCACTGCCCTAGCTGATCAAAAAAGAAAAAGTCACTCCCATTCAGAATCAGTCCTGCTTGAGACGTGATCAATCAAAGAGCTATTCCTTCAGAGCAGAAACAAGTAGGATCCTGCAACAAAGTTTGTTAAAATCCTTTCAATGTACATTGATCACCCAGTGGGGATTTTTCTTTCTCAACAAAAGTGGAGTTACTCTGCAAATCTTGTTGTAAACCCTCAGCCTGCATGCTGTCTCTAGTGAATTTAGGCCTAGCAGATTAAAATGTTCTTGCTGCTGGCCAATGTTACAATACTGAATAAAAATAATAAGGATTTGAGGCACCAAATGTGAAAAAAAAATATATGTATATATAAAATATGAAGCTGCCCCTAATATGGTGGATGACCACGCTGGTGCAAATGTTTATTAGAAATAGGTAGGCGCTACATATACATATGTGAAAATTGCAAGTACGTAAGAGGCTAGTATCACTACATGCCCCTAAATAGAACCATTGTAATTGAACAGATTCTCAGGGTAAATGCTATATTCCCACAACCTATACAGAAAACATATAAACCAGAAAATAATAAATAAAAGTCTACAATAGTACACAGCACAATGTGTGTGAGCTTCACAACCTGTGCTGTGTGCTAGAAGGACTAGGACATTGTGCTGTTTACTATGGGGATGTTGACTGTGGTCTGGCACCAAATCTGCATAAGGATTACTCCATACCGAACACCATACAAGTATTGGAGGCATGTTGAGAGTTCCTATTCCTTAGCTTATGGCCATAAACGGAGAGCTGCTTGAGGGTAGTTATTACTGAAATATGACCAAAAAGTGCATCTGACCACCTTAATTGGGGTCAAAAGGTCTGGTGAGTGAGCAATCTTTTCTTTCTCCTGCCGACACGTGGTGAAGATAAAAGTAACTTTTTCTGGTATGGGTCACAGTATAAAGAAATTGAAAGGACCAGGGGCGGACTGACCATTTGGAAACTTGGCACTGCGTGAGGGCCCGGGGTCAGTAGGGGGCCCCATGAGATGCCCCTGGTACCTTTTTCATAGGCTTTTTTGAGTTTGGGCAAGGACACCGGGGCCCCATGATCCCCTATTGCCCGGTGGCCCCATGAGTTGTCAGTCCGCCCCTGGAAAGGACTGTCACTTTTATTTAAGCACAAATTTACCTGTGGACTTTTATTTATTATTTTCTAGTTTATATGTTTTCTGTATAGGTTGTGGGAATATAGCATTTACCCTGAGAATCTATTCAATTATAATGGTTCTATTTAGGGGATGTAGTGATACTAGCCTCTTATGTACTTGCACATTTCACATGTTTATATGTAACGCCTTCCTATTTATAATAAACAATTTTACACTACTGTATCATCTCCTGTTTCTTAATTCCTGTAGTAAAACACCTGCATGTACTCTTTGTCTCTAGTACATTTTGGCCTATTATCTCCGAATAAAACTGTCCAGCTACTGGACAGTTATATACATTGTTTATCCTCTGCAATGTCTTGTAATCCAGCAATATTATTGTAGTAAAGCCCCACCCTGTTCTCTTTGTCTCTAGTATATTTAGGCCTAGACGTGCTATTTAAATTTGCCCCATCACTGCCCAATTTAACACTGCTGTGCCATCTCTGCTCTCTTAATTCTTAATGCTTAGATTGTTTTTTTTCATCAGGGACAGCCTCAGCAAGATATTGGTCAATTATATTTGAGTGTCACAGAATTATAGAGCTCCTTTATGCAAACTTATGTGGGTACAGATATGTTATTTTGGCCTTGGAAAATATAGCCCCAATATTCAGCAGACCCATTTCTCCAGCTTTGCTTCGTTGCTTTTATGACCTCTGGTCAACACTGGTTAAGGTTAGTGAAAGCTGTCATTTGACTGCACATAAAAGTCCCTTAATTTTTTTTTTTTATATTTTTCAGGGAGAAGTATTTTCCATTTCAATAGATGAAACAGACATTGCAAAAGATCTAAAGGAGATAAACACACTCAACTGCAAAAACAGGTAATTTGTTGTCTTTATCACTGCAAGTTTATGTGGTGCCAACTAGTTTATTAAACTTCATTAACACACACCTGAATTTCATTGACACCAGTGGGTAGGTTACACATTCCTGAGCTAAATTATGGCATATTTTTTGTATGTTTAGTATTTTGAGTATGTTTGTATGACTCTTTTTTGTCTCCTTATTCAGGATAAAAACTATGGGCTCTAAGCAGTTGGAACTCCAGCATTCATGGGGGAGACTCGGTGCTTATAAATTCTTACAGATTTGTGACTTGATACCTGTCCCATCTACCATCCGGAAGCCAAACCTAAGAGCAGAACTTAATGACCCATATGACCTATCATTCTAGCTCTGTTAGTCATCGGTAACTAACAGGAACCAGTGGCTGTTCTAACCTGGTGCACCAGACCTGCCTAAATAATGACTGGATGTTGCTGGAGATACTGTAAATATGATTTTGCTACATTCCTGCTAAAAAAGCTTTAGTAACCAAAGCCATAATCATTGTCAGTGGTATCACTAGGGTTGGTGTCACGTGGTGCGGTAAAACATTGTGTCACCCCCCCAAAACCGGCCCCTGTAAATGATGCGGTCAATGCTGCCATACCGATCTGTGCATTGATGGGGGTGACACCATCTCAGTCGAATATTACTTCAAACTTGATGGTGTCACCCAGGGCTGCCATTAGAAATCACGGGGCCCCGTACAACCTACCTAACAGCCCCCTTCCACCCCCCAATTTTTAAAAATATATTTTTCTACTTTTTAAAAATGTTTTTTACAATTTAAAAATTAATTTTTCACAGTTTATTTTTCATACTTTTTAAATGTACCCGCCTTGCACACCAGTTCCCCACTGTGCCCCCTCATTCCCTACTGTGAACCCTCCTGCTCCCCTGTCCCCCAAACTGTCCCTGCACACCAGTTTCCCATTGTGACCCCCACACTGTTCCTACACACTAGTTCCCCACTGTACCTTCCCTGCACACCCATTCCCCACTGTGACCCCCTAGCCCCGCTCCCAAACACTGTCCATACACAGCGGTTCCCCACTGTACCCCCCACCTTCCTTCTGAAGAAGAGCAGAGCTGCTGCCTGTCCTCCTACTACAAATCCCTGATGGTCTGGGAGGAGATTGAGGGAGGTGATATTGTGGCAAGCCAGGACATCCAGGGCACCCACCCTGTGGTTCCCTATATTATGCTGCACATCCAGCTGCTGGCTTCTCTTTGTCCCAGCTCTATCCTCTCCAGCTCGGGCTGCACTGCAGAGAGAGACCCAGGCAGAGCTGCAGATACAGGGAAGAGAGAGGGCAAAACACTTGAGGGAGAGGAAGGGGCAACAGAGGAATGTGAACAGAGCCCTGCCCACCGGGAGAGGAAACGGGGGAACCTGGTGTGGATAGCACAGGGAGGGGGATCGGTGCAGCGGGACAGGAGGACAAAACAGAGCAATGCCCTGTGTCTCTGTCTCCCCCCAGCAGCTGAAAGCCAGGGGGAGGAAGAGGGGAAGATACTGGCTTTCAGCTGCTGGAGAGACAGAGACACAGGGCATCGCTCTGTAATTGTCCTCCCGTCCTGCTCCCTGTTGGTGGCCCTAGTGTCGCCCCTCTGGCAGGTGTCACCCAGGTGCAGTCCACACCCCCTGCTCCCTCATAGTGACGTCACTATTCATTGAGGGGCCAAAGTTTAAGAAAGGGATGCTATGTAGAAACTTCTATAGCTATCAATTTTTTCTTAGCACAGAAACATACATAAAAATATTTGCTCAACACAAAACAGCAAGGCAATATCAACCAATATGTACATGCATACTTGAAAAACAGGTTTGTAAAGTAATGGTAACATATGACAGGTTGAGGAGCTAGATCAAAGCTTTTTGTTGCTCACAGAATTATAGAGCTTCTTTCTTTAAATACACAAATACAACCAACCTATGTGATCCTCTTCCATATTCAGGATACCAGTAGAAAACCATAATGTAAATATAGATTTATTAAATTGCTTTGTGAAGAATATACTGTTGATGTAATACAAGATTTTGTTGTAAAGTACTAGAGAACATTTGATGGCAGGTCCCACATCTCTGTTGTCAGTTCTTCACAGTTAAATCCGTATGTACCATTTTTTGTTCTGTCACGCTCAATTATGAAACAAAGGTGTGTACCAGGATATATTAGCTCTATGTAAACAAATTATAATGTTGCTTTTTAATATGTGAACATAATAGCATTTGTAGTATGCAGGAGGAACTAAACCCCAGAGTAATAATAAAGTATAAAATAGTATATTCCAAATCGTGTACTGTATACTTTTTATATTTTACATTGTTTACAAGACAACCTTATCATTTTCATTTTTCTATATATTAAATTTTGACCTATAACATGTGTTTAATTTTGAAATTATATTTAGTTACTTTTCTTTCTCGTGTCATGGTTTTCCACTTTGGTATGTCCTTCAATTCTTAACTTACAATTTTAAATTTGTTGTTTTTTATGGGCAATTTGTAAACCCATGGAGCGCTTATGTCAACCACAGTGGAGGTCACAAAAACCTCAGGAGAGAAGAACTTAATTTAGGATTTTTCTTTCTTCGTAATGAAAGGGGCATTACACTGAAAACTGATATTTTAGGTCTTGACAGATGCCAGTGAATTGAATCACCCAGTGGCTCTATTTAAATCTTACTGATTCGGGTAGCAAGATCTCTCTATAATAGCTCTGTCAATGTGGAGTTTTTATCCTTCAGGGTAAGTCTAATTTTTCATTGCTCAGCATCATTCTCTATGGTATAAATGTAAAGTAAAAAAATCCAACAAACGGAGTAAGCTGCAGTAAATGTGGAAAGACCGGGAATCCCAAATATAGTGATGTTTCAGCTGGAGATCCTACATGTGAAAAGGCTGGAATATAAGTTTTCACAGACTTATCCTTTCTACCTGCATAATGTATGATTAAAATAAACTAATTTTGTAAATGTCATTTACAAAAAATGGATGAATAAGATATTCTCTTTTTGTGCTGCAGATATTTAATGTAACTTTTCACACTGCTATATGCATAGCTGGCAAAATTCTATATAGGGTTGTACTTTGTAAGCCCAACCTCTTCCTCTTCCCTGACATACCTTATGTTAGACCCAATGCGATCATCTCTGCAATGCAGGCAATTCATGGCAGGTGGAAAGGGGTGGGAGGGGCCAGTAGTTTATCTAGGTTTTGTGCTGCCCTAAGCAACACAAAAATCGGCCACCTCAACCTTTCCCACGGAGAGAGCCTGACGCCGACCAACACGCCCCCCCCACTATGGAGAGAGCATAACACTGACCAACAACCCCCCAAAGGAGAGAGCCTGATACTGACCAACACCCCTCCCACACCACGGCGAGAGCATAACAACAACCAGCAACCCTCCCCCCAAAGGAAAGAGCCTGACACCAACCAACACCACCTCCTCCCCCCTGGCGGAGAGAGCCTTCCACTACCACTGCCTCCCCCATACACCCACCACCACCCCCCTCCCATCCCTGGCAAGAGAGAGAAAGAAACTCACAGACACTGACCTTCACAGCTCTGGTCATCCCCGGGAACAAGAGTCGGGCTCTGCATACACTGTCAAGCAGCCCGCAGGCTCTCATGGATCCCACCTGGTCCACATGCAGCGTGTGTTCCTTGTTCTGGGGGTCAGCACTGCACTGCTGAAAAATGCCACCCTAGGCAAATGCCTTGTTTGCCTTGTGGTAAATAGGCCCCTGGGAGGGGCTGGTAGGGTGCTTTACATCACAGCACCCTGCCTCAGTACTCCCCTCAAGAGCCCTTAGCTGTAATGAAGGCAGTGGGCTGGATCTTAGGAGGAGTTACACAAATATCAAATGCCTTGATAGGTTGATGTCAGGCTGGAGGAGTGGGTGTCCCTAGGAAAGCTGTATATGCATTCAGATTTTAATAGGAAAAGCCCACGTGTGCTGCCAAGCCTTCATGATTGATAGAGAAAGCTGAAATCTAATGATTGAATAGTCGGGCCAGAGACAGTAGGCCTGGGAAGGATAGAGCTAGATGATGCTGGATGTCCTCATGGCAGAAACAGAGGTGGGCTTGTTGTAGTTCCTGCAGGCACAATTGGATGCCACTGTTCACCATGATTTTGCCCTTGTGCAATCCTGTAAGTTCCCTTTTATGGATGAGTCCTGTCTGTGGGTTGGTAGGGAGACTTTCTGTCAATTGCCCTAGCTGACTAAGGGAAATATATGCATGTGGTGGATGGAAGCTTCAAGGAGTAGCAGTGAGTGAAAACCAGGGTGGAATTTTGTGTTTCCTGTAGGCTGGAAATCTCCTGGACCGTAACGTAGTTGTGTGGTGTTAGACTTTCCCCATGTGGGGAAGCAAAGGACTACTCTTAATGGGAAAAGATATGGACTACAGTCTGTGAGTACTGTAGATTGTGGGTGCTGTAATGCTCCTCCTGGTGCTAGGGAAGTAATACATTGAATTCTGAACTGTTATGGAAACTGTTGTGCTCTGCACAGTTGTTAATGTAATATACTTACTGTGAGAAAGACTCTGAAGATTTACCTGTTGAACAAATCTTAAAATTAGTGTTCTTTGCTGCAAGTCAGTATGCTAGACTGGTTTCTCTTGTTCCTAGGAAGTTAATGGTGTAGCCAATACCATGGCAAAAGTGAGATTTGGCAGCTGGTTCTGGTCAGGAGTGTGATGTGGTTTAGTAACAGAGGTCTGTCCATGGCAATGGCCAGGTGGTTTCTCTACCATTTGAGCACCTGTGTCTCAAGGCTTCATGTGTTGGATAGGATCCCCCTTAACCTCAAAACACTGAGTGGTCAAGGTGTTGTGAATTCGTGACTTCTGATAAGCCCTAGAGCAGATGTAACATGGAGGCGTCGTCAGAGGAGCAGGAGCAATAGAGACATACTTGGATAGCAGCATTGTCACTTAAGGGAGATGGTAGTGTTAGATACACTAGCAGATTTAGCTGGCCTTGACAAACACATTAAAGCCAAACTCCAATACTAACACTTGATAAGCAGTTACAGCAATTGTTTTTTTTTTTCTTTTGGGATAAAGGTTTTATGTAAATGAATAAAAGCTGACCTTTGTAAGCACCCCATCATTGGTAAATGGTTTGTCTCAATCCTCTAACTATAGCCATTTCTGCTGGATAGCTTGGACTGTTTGTAGCACTACCCTCGTGAGGGCCGCTGTATTTCTAGGTATACCTAAGCTCTGCACATCCAGGCAACATGCATTTTCCCCACTTTCATCCACAGTCAGTGAACAGTCCATGAGCTTGGTTTTTGTTATTTGATTAGGGGAAAATAACTTGGATAGGG